TGTAAAATAGCATAGTAACCTGTAAATGTTTAGTGTTCTAAGCATGACTCCTTGTTAAAATATAGTACTACCTAGTATGACTATGACACTTTTATTCTCTTCATATTAAAATCACTTGTATTTACTCAAATATAATACATCTTTAAAAGTAGGTTAGAAAGCTTTGAATGCAGAACTGTTAACTGTTCTCTTAAATAGTTGCATCCCTTTACTTCCCCTGCTGGGTCCAAAGCATTTCTCTTAACTTGTCAGCTCAGCTAGGTTCTGCATGATTAACATGTTACTTCCAAGGATATATATTCTGTTTTTTAAAATGTCAATTTCTGTGAAATTATACCCTATGCAGTGTATCAAAGAAGAAGTACGCTCCCATCTCCTAGTCATACCTGTTTATTTCTCTTGCATATATACTTTTAATTAATTACTTGTTTTTGATGTTGGCTGGAACATTAGAAGAAAAATGGCTCATTGTGTGCATAATCTGGAATTCTCTTTGGTGCTTTATAGCATTCCCCCTCCAGCTCATTTTATGGTGGGTGCTTGGTTGTTCTACTGTCATCTGTTCCTTGAACGTGTCTAGTCAAGCGAAGTTGCATGGCAGCAATTTTGGTGGTAGAGTGGCTGTGTTCCAAGATTCCATGGGCAGTTCTATCTTGACATTTAATGAGCTGATGAAGCTGCTAAAAAAAACCAGTTATGATGTCTGTAGAAGGTTTGCCATTACCTCCTCTCTGTGGAGATAATGTTATGGTTAACCTGCATCTGCTTCCTGTTGTAGCTGTACACTCAGTGTGGTTTGTAATATTTGGCAATGCCTCAGAATGTTAAACCCGTACCACAGTGTGGTTGGAACAGCTGAAACCACTGGAGACACTGGTTCAGATTTGGAGGAAGATTTTAGGAGTGACAGAAGTCTAATTTCAATTTAACTAATTAAACCACTCTGAGGTAATTCAGTGGAGCACACCCTCAAGAGTTGCAAGAGGTTTAATTAATGTTGGCTCAACTTTTAAAGCATGAGGGTAATCTTTTGGAATCACCTAACATGGTTCATTTGTTCTGGGTTCCGAATGTACAAGCAAGCTTTTCCAGGATTTGAGTGTTGTTATTTTGAACATAAGTGCTTAAAACCGTACTTGTGAACCTAATAATCTGACCAAAACTTTTACTGCTTGGGTGTAAGAAATAGTGATTTTCTTTGAGACAAAAGCAGCATGTTACAATTTTCACTATGTTACCCCTGCCCAGGAGAAAGAGATTGTGTGACTGGTAAAGAGAAGTGGTTAGAGGAGAAGCCGATCTTCTAATAGCAGTGCCAACTCTGTAAAGTAATTAAAAGAAACCGATTTCAGAAAGTTATCATTGAAGTCTGTGTAAAGGGAAACACAGGATTCTTGAGATGCAAAGGCTCAGAATCAGGTTTTATTTAAACTGTTGATCCTTTAATCCCTTCAGAGGATCCTTATAATTGCTTTCCACATCGTATCAACAGTAAAAATGTTGGCAGTATTTATTAATAACATCAGTTATCATCATCATCATCATTATTATTCCAGTCTCCTTGGACTTGCTGCTTATATTTCTCCCTTCTTTTTTTTTTTAATATGGAGAATTACAGATATATTGAAAAGCAGAATATCTATTTCAGATGTATAGAAAAGACTATCATGAGCCACGCGGCGTCAACCATAGCCAGTCTAGAAGGCAGCATGTCTTAAGGGGAGGGCCAAGAAAGTGGCAGAGATGGATTGTCTTATTAATATAACTGTTGTCTTAATGCTTTCGTTTTCAGATGGCCTAAAAGAAATGAATGAAGCAGACCTTTGTCTTTGCTCTCTTACAGATCTCAGCTAGTGCTTTGAAATGACAAACTTGCAAATGTGATAAAAGAAGAAAAAAGGACAAACAGTGTTTTAATATTTTATTCATTTTTTTTGTGTCAGAGACTTTGTTTTCCCTTAAGTAATTTTGACCCGTATTAGAATTAAGTATGGAATAGCTGAGGAGAAAGGAAAGACCAAATGAAAAACATTTAATTTTTTGTGACATAGCTGAGCGAGATGAGTCTGGGGCAAGCCTGAATGTGGGGTATGGAAGGAGACGGTGATCTAACATAAAGAAGGAACAAATTAATTTATTATAGGCTGTATAGCCACCTCTGTAAAACTCTAATCCTGTGTAGTTCAGTACAGTTGCCACTAGCCACATGTGGCTTTTGAGCACTTTAAATGTGGCTAGTCTGAGATGAGCTCGAGTATGTGCTTTTAGTGTCAAATACATACTAAAAAGACTTGGTGTGAAAAAAAATTAAAATACCATTAGTAAAAATTTTAATATTGATTACATGTTGAAATGGAAATATTTTGGCTATACTAGGTTAAAAAAATTAAGATTAATTTTACCTGTTTCTTTTTACTTTTTAAATTTCAAATTAGACATATGGCTCACATTTGTGGTTTGTATTATATTTCTACTGGAAATACTGTTCTGGACCAAGTCCTGTGGTTAAAAACTGTAACAGATGAGAAGAGAGAGATAGGGAATTAAGGGAAGAAATAGTCATGAATTGATAACGTCTTGCTTTTTTTTTAAAAAAAAAAAAAAGTCTTTAGTTTTTGCTTTAAAAGTGATAGAACAGGAAATTACTGGAAGAGCTAGTTTCCAGGTGTTAAAGCTACCAAACCTTTAGTTACGGCTTTTCAGGAAATATTGGAGTTCTGGCCACTGTGCTTCATAAGACCTTCATCACCATTTTTCGTTGTTTCACCAGATGTTGCTAAAGACCTTTATCGTTCAGATACGTCTTGTACTTTGCTTGTCTTCTCCCAAGACCCTAGCTCACACTTGGAGCAGCGTTAACACTGATACAAACCCCAGTTTTGTCAGGGGACTGGAGTGAAGGTCAGCAAAGCATTTCTGGTCCACAGTCCCTTATCTTCAGTTCTGAAATCCAAAAGCTCTGAAAACCAGAAGTTGTTTTTGTTAATTCATTTGGTAGAAAACCTGACCTGAAGTAATGTGAGGGAGGCTATTTGTAGTCTTTACCCCACTTTGTGGGAATATTTATCTACTTTGCTACAGAAATATTAATGTGTTTGGAAATAAAGTGCTGCCTTGGACCCAAGTGGAGGTAATATGCTATATACATTGTATTAACCTTTCTAAATATATATAGAAAAAAAATGTGAATTCTGAAATACAGCCGACTTAAAAGGTTTCAGATGAGGAATTTTGGACCTCTGTTACCATCCCACAGAAATTGGAAATATTTTGCTAACCATAATACTATTTTTGAAATAAGATTTTGTCTTTAGTACAACACAATCTAATACAGTGACTAAAGTAAATGAGGTCTTCCTCAAACACAACTTTGTTGTGCACTCTCTCGTAAAGTCTTTCAGAAGCTGCTTGTTCTCTGGTTCCCCTTGTCCTGGAACTTAATACCTGCTACAGAGTGGTATCTGCCTGATGTTATCTCCTTTGAATCTTCTCCACGTTCCCCCTTCAGTCAGTGTTTCAGAGTGAAACACATTGTATGCATCTTGACTGTGCTGTAACACGTGTTATTTCTTTTATTCTGGAAAATCTTCTCTGTCTCTTTGTCAGAATCCTTCTAATTCTTCAACATGTGTTCAAACCCTACCATTTCCTGACGTTTTCCCGGATTACCTGTAGGCCAGTGTGTGCGTGCGAGCGAGCGAGCGAGTGTGCACACGGGTGTGTTTACCTCCCCGGCTACATTGTAATCTCTTCGCTCAAAGGGACCCTGTTCTAAACCTCTCAGCGTTCATCCTAATGTCTTTCACAGTGATTTGCATGCAGTAAATACATTTATTACTGTTGCATTTTCTAGGGGGAGGGTGCTGGTAGACAAGCAAAAGTAGGTATCCCAATCAAAGTGTCAAACTCTTTGCTCCCTTTTGTTCATTTTATTTACTATATATCTAAGTAACAAAAGGAAACAATAAAAATGCAAGTAGGAAGTAGTAATGAGGCTGCAGCCCTATGGTTTTCTGCATCTTTGAGAACAAAAAATTAACGCGTGTGGTTGCAATGCCGGAGACAGAAAAGACACCTTTGCCACTTTTATGGAAATTGTTGGTGTATATAATGAGGATGTCAGAATGAAGTTGATAATTTTGCTATAGGGTAGTTGGAAAGAATAGGTACATCCTACTTTCTTGAAACTTAGTTGAAGAGGGTATCAAAATCAAACTCCAGGTACTTTTGTGATTATAACCTCAAGGCAATGAGAGATTTTACTGAGAGCCCTTTTACCTTTTTATTTTATTTAAACAAAAACAACAGAAATAAAAAACATGCTGAGTGGAAGGAGTCCTAAAAAAAAGACTTTAACTCTGTTTACAAACTCTGTGACCTTATACAAATCTCAGTTTCTTTAGATATAAGGAAGAAGAGCTCAAGATAAAATAAAATATTATTCAATAAAATATGTGATAAAATAGTATGTGTGAAGGTACATAATAATTTGAAAACTTATATACAAAATTGCCAAGGTGGTATTTTTAATTTTGACACAGTCATTTAATACAAGAGATCTTTACTAAATCTGAAAATAAAAATAAAAAAACCCCAAACCCATTGCCATTGAGTCAATTCCGACTCCTATCGACCCTATCGGACAGAGTAGAACTGCCCCATAGGATTTCCAAGGAGCAAATGGTGGATTCAAACTGCCGACCTTTTGGTTAGCAGCCTGAGCTCTTAACCACTTCACCACCAGCGTTCTAAGTCTAAAGTTGCCAAAAATTTTAGAAGGAAGGATAATAAGAGATTGGATAGAGGTCAAATATTGACTGTTGGAAATTATTTTCATTGAATTGGGGTATTTTAATTTTGTGAAAGCATTAAGGTAGGAATAACTAAGATGACTCTTGGATTTTGATGCAACAGGCAATTGGATCTGTCTTTTTTCGCATAGCTATGAAAGCTAAGTACACACCTTTTCCTCTTCCTTCTCTTTAAACTTAAACCTGAAGGTTATGAATACTGATGGCACTGGGAGACAAGTACTCGTAGAAGACAAAATCCCTCACATATTTGGGTTTACTTTGTTGGGTGACTATGTTTACTGGACTGACTGGCAGAGACGGAGCATCGAAAGAGTGCACAAAAGAAGTGCAGAGAGGGAAATCATCATAGATCAGCTGCCTGACCTCATGGGCCTGAAGGCCTCCAACGTTCATCGAATCATTGGTGAGTAATTCCAGAGCGCCCTAAGAGACAGAAGCTGGGAGTGAGGAGAGATGAAGACAGCAGTTTGTAAAACAATGTTGTAAATTGTTAAATGATGAGGATATTTAGGAGCTTTCTGGATCTCCCCTAAGGGTAACCCCCCCCCCACACACACACACACAAAAGAAAAATTGAGGTGACACAGAAATCATCTGTTAACCTTTTTAACAGGTTTGGGTCTTTTAAATGTTGGTTTAGTACTCTGGCTACACAGTTTCAGTTTAAGGGTTATACACACACACACACACACACATGCATACATACAAATTTCTTTATCAAAATAATTCAACCCTATTGTATGAATAATGTAATTTATTTGAAAGCTTTTACCATTGTTTTATTCCCTGTGTTTTACCACAGTATTCCCTGTATTTTATCAGTTTTATTCCTTGTTGTTTTATTCCTTATTGTGAGATTAGAACTGATATTTAGATTTGGGAGCAGACATAATCATAGGTCTTTGTGAACCAAATGCTTAGTCATTTTAAAGTGAAAATGTGTTGATTAGGTCAGTGTGTGTGCCCTTTTATAATTAATTCATCTTTTAGGTTCCAATCCCTGTGCTGAGGAAAATGGGGGATGTAGCCATCTTTGCCTCTACAGACCTCAGGGCCTGCGCTGTGCCTGCCCCATTGGCTTTGAACTCATCAGTGACATGAAGACCTGTATTGTCCCAGAGGCTTTCCTTTTGTTTTCCCGGAGAGCAGATATCAGGCGAATTTCTTTGGAAACTAACAATAATAATGTGGCCATTCCACTCACTGGTGTCAAAGAAGCTTCTGCTTTGGATTTTGATGTGACAGACAACCGAATTTACTGGACTGACATATCACTCAAGGTTAGCAAAGGACCTGGAACACTGAAACCGGGGCCTAAAAGGGGGGAGTTTATAGAATTTTTGAATTTCCATGCTATGACCCACCTCCCTCTTGTTTAACAGGCAAAATTCAACAAAAACCCTTAACTTTTTAAAGGAGGTCAAGGGAAAGGCCCATTCAGTAATTTATGTATTGTTAGGTACTTTTTCATGCAAGGTACATCGCTAAATCTGCAAGGCATAATCTTCCTATACCTGTACTTCCAATTGATGATAACATTTTCTGTCATTAGCTGAATAAGCAATTGTATGTTCTGTATATACAGCTTATAGAGGCTTGGCTCTCTATTTTAAACAAAGTTTTGGAGGCTAACTGAGGTAGAACAGTGCCATTTATGAGCTATAACATACCTTTATTTTCTTTTTCCTAGAATAAATATTGAAAAGGACAGTAAGGACAGTGGGAGAGAGGAGGCTCCTGACCAGAAAATGTGGGGAATAATCTTCTTCCAGATTGTTTTGGGCTTGCTTATTTAGATAACTTCTGTAAACTCTTGTCTGATATAATGCTTCAGAACATGAGACTTTGGAGCCAGACTTCAGATTCTAATGATGATCAGTAAAATCTGTTAAATGAGTGAACAAATAAAATAAATAACCTTTTCCAGCATAGCCTTCTGAGTTCCCTTATCTTGAAAATAGAGATAATACCTACCCTATAGGGCTCTTGTGAAGATTAAATGAGAAGATTTGTGTACACAAAGTGCTTAGGGCAGTATTTGACAAGAAACAGCTGTTGTTATTATTAGCTTGAAATATGATTATTTTTAAATATTTGGCATTTGAAACTACAGTAGTAATAAATGATAATGGTTATATATGTTTTATAAAGTGTAAGGTTGTTGAGATCTTGTCAAATTGACACAGTGACTTGGCATACTCTCATCCTTCAGAGAGTTGGTGAACAGTTAAAGAGTCTCCAACATTCTGGTCACGTCTTTTATGCTTGATGGCTAATTTTAAAAAGAAAAGTCATCCACCGTCTTAGTAGAATAAAATTTTATTTCTTAAGAGTTCTGAATTTGTCTTCCTGAATTGGCAGTAAAACTTGAGGTTACAGCTGCATTTATTAGAACCAGATAAAAGTTACCTCTTATCTTCATGCTCTAGGGTTGGCATTAGAGGTTGACATCAGTTTTTTTTGGTGCTTATAAAATATGTGAATTTTATTAAGAAACAGTATGCTGCTCGACTCTTTCACCATCTCCCCCACCCCCAACAAAACGAACCCAAAACTTCTTTCTGGATAGTGTTTTATATTTAAGCCATGTGACTTCGTTGTTAATCTTGTTTTTGCAGACCATCAGCAGAGCCTTTATGAATGGCAGTGCGCTGGAACACGTGGTAGAATTTGGCTTAGATTATCCAGAAGGCATGGCAGTAGACTGGCTTGGGAAGAACTTGTACTGGGCAGACACAGGAACTAATAGAATTGAGGTGTCAAAGCTGGATGGGCAGCACCGACAAGTTTTGGTGTGGAAAGACCTAGATAGTCCCAGAGCTCTTGCATTGGACCCTGCTGAAGGGTAAACAGCTTTGTGTTTTTGTTCTTTGAAACTACATTGTACATTTTGGGGAACATGGCCTAGTTACAGGGTTTATCTTCTTGATGCCTTAAGTAATGCTTATTGGGAATTTGACACCTAAAATGATAAATAGGCTTTATTTTAAAACCATTAATTTGAAATTTCACTGATCTTAAAATTAATAATTATTAGCTAAATTTTACTTTTACCATTAACACTGGGTGAAGAAAGATTAGGGAAGTGGGTGAATAATCAAAGATTACTAGTCATCATTTATATACTAAGTGAACAGCTTTTTTTTTTTTTTTTAGCCATTATCAATTAAAAATTTGCATGTACTCCCTCCCCAGTTAATACCAAATTCCAAACCTACCATAGTAAACCAGCGAAGCAGCATTGTGTGCTAATAAATAACTGCATTAAAGTTCCCTTTTATACTATTAATTGATTTAAAATGGTCAATTAGTTTGATCATTATTATTGACTTGGAGAAAGTGTGTTATTATAAGATAAAGTGTTTATTAAGAACATGACATGGTTTTCAAGGATAGGTGATTCTTCTTATAAGATTCAGCAAGTTTTAAAAAGCCAGCAACTAAAATATCTGAAATTTGAAGAAAAATTCAACCTTTAAAAGTGAAAGCCAGCAGTGTGAACATGTAAACATATTTGCCATATCTGTAATTGAAAATAGTTCCCCTGAAATCACCACATTAATTCTGTGATTAGCTAGCCATTCATGTAGTTAGAAGGCCATATCAAAGTCAGCTTCTCTGAGCTGACATATTGTGGTAGGATCATGGTGATCTCGACTCTAAGCATTAGTTGCCAGACAGTTAAATTTAGTAGGTGGGACTAAGCTCTCTAGTATATGTCACTGCTGGCAATTGTGACATTTCTCTCACAGTTGTTTCTCTTTAGCCCTTGTGGTGTGCACATGCCTGTCAACTGACAAATGTAAATGCAAACAAAGCCTGAGACCAGCTTTAATTTTCAGAAAAGCATGTTCATACATTGCTACCAAGTTAGCCATCAGCTGACAGACTGATGAGTGAATATTCGTCCTCGGGTATTTGATGCAAGCTGGCGTGTAGAGTGCTTTCCTAGTCTCTAAACTAGCACCTTACTAGTTTAGTTGAAAGGCCATTTGACGATGGATTAGGATTCCAGTTCTAGCTCTGTAATGTATCTAGCTCTAAGACATTAAACAAACCATTCACATTTCTCTTAGTGCTTTGACCTCATCTGTAAAAAGCCTGTGCCGTAGGGCTGCTCAAAGCTTAGAGTGAAATACTTGAAAAGGTAAAATAAAAGCAAAACAGTCTTCTGAAATTTCACAGGGGTTGCAGTAGCCGTGTTCACTGCCCAGCTGACACACATCAAATGGTGGTTCACTGGTCTTACTCATACATACGTCCCATCGGACCATGTGACCAAATACATTTTCAGACTTTGCTTTTGACTTCAGTTAAAGGCCACTGTTTATTTTTACCTTTGATGTACTTCTGCAGCTTATTTATGGAGAGAGTTGATTACATAAGTTGAAAAGTAAGTTCAGCAGTTTAAGTTATTTGTATTGAGAAATATATAAAGACTTTTTTTCAGAAGTAAATCAGATTCTGAGATCAGAGCTTCAATCCATTGCTTTCTTTTGAATATTAGTTTTATAAATGTAAGTGCTGCAATAAGGAAATCACTGATTTGTTTCCAGTTCCTAGGGTTTGGATGGAACAAATTCATTGGAAAAACTAAGGAAAGCTGACTCACTTCCTTTTTGGGATATATGAAAAAATATTCAGTGGAAGGTGCCAAAACAATTGAAAAAGTGTAGGCGTGATTTTGTTTTACCCAGTTCCTTTACTTAGAATATATTTTCTTAAAATTTATTTAGTTACTATGCATGAATATGACCCTTCCCTAAATTACAAAAGTGAAATGTTAAATATTCGTTGTTTTGAATTTAGATTTATGTATTGGACTGAATGGGGTGGAAAACCTAAGATAGACAGAGCTGCTATGGATGGAAGTGAACGTACTACATTAGTTCCAAATGTGGGACGGGCAAATGGCCTAACTATTGATTATGCTAAAAGAAGGCTTTATTGGACAGACCTGGATACCAACTTAATAGAATCTTCAAATATGCTTGGTAAGCTGTACTACTTTTTATTCAAACACATAGTATATTTTTCTTTTTATGTAAAAGTCAGTGACTCTTATTCACCATTGGTTAGATACTGTTAATCTTCATATGGCAGTCTAGATTCTTCCCCTTGTTTTGGAATTATGTCCTGTTTTTTTGTTGTTAATAGTGGACCAGATTCTTTAATTCACGTCTTTTTATTATGTGGAGATTTCATTTTTATTGTTTTTTTTGTTATGAAATTTATAACTCTCTAGAAAATTCCTGAAGTGACTTTTTGTACCAATAAAAACATACACACTTCCATCTTTTTATGTAAGGAAGAAGAAAAGTTGAACGATAGACCCCTGTGTAGAGAATAAAAACAAATAGGCCGTTTGCAGGAGTTTAAACAAATTCAGTGATTTATAGCAAGAATATAAGCTTGAGGCGTGGGGGGTCAGACAGCAGATGGATTGATTTCAGAGGACTGGTCTCATTTTAGAATTGCTTTTCAATGAATTGTTCTTTTTTTCAAAGTTGTTTGCAAATGTAATGTTTTACATGTTTAAAAATGTTTTTTCCTTTGTTTTTGCCATTAAGACACTTGAATTCTCACCGTATTTCATCCCTCTGCTTCTCCCCTGTCTGCTACTTTTCTAAAAATAGGACTCAACCGTGAAGTTATAGCAGATGATTTGCCTCATCCATTTGGCTTAACTCAGTACCAGGATTACATCTACTGGACGGACTGGAGCCGACGCAGCATTGAGCGTGCCAATAAAACCAGTGGCCAGAACCGCACGATCATTCAGGGCCATTTGGATTATGTGATGGACATCCTCGTCTTTCACTCCTCTCGGCAGGCAGGATGGAACGAGTGTGCCTCCAGCAATGGGCACTGCTCCCACCTCTGCCTGGCTGTGCCAGTTGGAGGTTTTGTTTGTGGATGCCCAGCCCACTACTCTCTTAATACCGACAACAGAACTTGTAGTGGTAAGCTGTATTTCCCCCCAAAGCAAGCTAGAATTAGAGGAGAAAGCAGCATTTTATAAACACCATAGTTCATGGTCTTTCTAGAATAAAAAGTTGCAGAAGTCCAGAAATGATTTATTTAGCAAGTGGAGAGAGCTGAAGGAGAGGAGGGAATGCAAGTTTTTGTTATTTAATATTTGCTTGGTGGTAGCAACTTGATGTTCTGGGAAAATTAAATCTTTTACCCTTGGGCATTAAACATTTAGTATAGTGAAATTTGCATAGCTTCATAACATAGTTTATAAAGAAAATGTTCTACATTCTACCTTGGTGAGTAGCATCTGGGGTCTTAGAAGCCTGTGAGCAGCCATCTAAGATACTCCACTTGTCTCGCTCGTTTGGGAGCAAGGGAGAATGAAGAAAACTAGAGACACAAGGGAAAGATTAGTCCAAAGGACTAATGGACCACAACTACCACGGCCTCCACCAGACTGAGTCCAATACAGCTAGCTGGAACCCAGCTACCACCAACTGCTCTGATAGGGATCACAACAGAGGGTCCTGGACAGAGCTGGAGAAAAATGTAGAACAAAATTCTAACTCACAAAAAAAGACCAGACTTACTGGCCTTACAGAGACTGGAGAAACCCTGTGAGTATGGCTGCCCGACACCCTTTTAGCTCAGTAATGAAGTCACTCCCAAGGATTAGACAGCCCCATAAAACAAAACAAGACTACTGGGGCACAACAGCCCAGGGACAAGGACTAGAAGGCAGGAGGAGACAGGAAAGCTGGTAATAGGGAACCCAGGGTTGAGAAGGGACAGTGTTGACATGTCATGGGGTTGTTAACCAATGTCATAAAACAATATGTATACTGTGTGTTTAATGAGAAACTACTTGTTCTGTAAACCTTCATCTAAAATATAATTGAAAAAAAAAAAAAAGACCAAACTTAAAAGAAAAATTTGCATAGCTTCATTGAGAAAGAGAGAGAATACACATGTGTGCTCTGTGCATGGTAATTAATATTTATTATAAAGGAAGAGAAGAGCAACAGAAACAGTACAACAAAGAGAATCCCCAAGTTTTTCTGTTGGGCCATGAAACAGATCCCTTTATCCCAGAACACAGCCTCCTTATCCTTTGATGTGCATGGAATAAGGCAAAGGGCAAAAACTTAAGTGTGTAAGAGGCCAGGCAGAAAATGCTATGAGAAAAATCAGCCCAGTATAAAACAATAGTCGGTATCTGGAAGAACTAGCGAGCACATGCTCTGAACATAGTGGGCAGCTGCTGCTTAACCCCAGCTAGTGGTATTAGATCTTCCCAACCAGTCATTTGTTTATTTTTTTGCCCCCAAATCTCCTGATTTTTAAGTACTGGCAAATAATTCACATTAAAATAACAAAAAACATTTTACTAGCACAATAACAACAAAACGCTGAATGTAACAAACAAAACATTGTTGACTTGGGGAAGCCTGCTTTCTTACCTGAATATGTATGAAGGCCGATGTCTTGGTGGATAGACAAGAACAAATTGATAGATACTGATAAAGAAATAGGTAGAGATTAGATCACCCTGAATAGATTCATGGGAGAGAAGTAGGGTGTGAGTCAGTAGGGTAGAAGGTAACAAAGTGCAGCTTAGCAGCAAAGTAGAATTTTTTTTTTGGGAAAATATAAATACAAGGTTTGTTATGAGGATTAGAGATAATAAACAGAAGCATCTAACCCAATGTTTGGCACATATTAGAGACTCACTAAATAGTATCTGTTATTGTTAGCTTTTTTGTAATTTTTACCTGCTCCACCTTCCCACAGTTTTACACACAAAGCAAAATAAAGTCTATATCTGCAATCCATGAGGGTTTAATTCCTATTAATACCAAGTTTCTTACTGCTGTTACTGATAATAATAGACAATAGTTAGTTTACTCTACATTTATGTAATGCCTTACAGTTTTTAAGATATTGTAAAATTCTTATAGTAGCTTAATGAGAGCAACAAGATAGATATAACCTTGATTTTACAGTTGGTTAAACTTTGACCTGGGGGGTAGGGGCGTCCAATGACTTAGTTAAGATGAAATGACTAGATAGTGAGCGAACTGAAACAAAAACCAGTCCTAAAGCTTGTTTTGACCTTGCAAACCTAGTCTTCCTGCCACTGAACACGTGTCAGAACAGGTTAAGGAAGAACAGAGTTATTCACTTGGTAGACTAGAAAAGCTCTGTATATCGTCAGCAAATGCCTCAGTGTCTTAGTTACCTACTTACTGCTGCTGTAGCACAAATACCACAGGTGGGTGGCTTTAAAGACAGAAATTTATTTTCTTACATTTCTGAAGGCTAAAAGTCCAAATCTGATTTCAGCCATGTTGATTCCTTCCTTGTCAGTATTCCCAGGTGTTCTTTGGTTCGTTGGCTTCCTCACATAGTGTCCGTCTTCCCCCTGTTTGTGTCTTTTGGTCTTTTTATAACTCAGAAGTGATTAGGCTTAGGATCCATCCTGTACTGGTATGACTTCATTTATGGCTTCATTAAGATAACAAAAGAAAGCCCTATATTTAAACAGGATCACATCAGCACGTATTTTGTGCAGCACAGTTCAGTCCATAACATCAGTGAAGTTAAGTCTTGTATCTTTGTGGACAAGATGGAGAAAAGTAGGCTGGTGACTGTATCATTGAGTAAATTTCTAACTGGTTGGTTAACCAGAGTGCTAATTAGGTCACTCTGAGGAGAGTTTTGAGAAGCTTGCCATAGGGTTCTGTCCTCAGCTTTATCTCTTCATCCTCTACGTCTGTTGTATATGAGTGCATACAGGCTGATCAAATCTATGGGTGACACAGAACTTAGAATAACTGGATTTCAGATTTGCTTTTTCCTTTCTTTAAGCTCCTACCACTTTCCTGCTCTTCAGTCAAAAGAGTGCCATCAACCGGATGGTGATTGATGAACAACAGAGCCCTGACATCATCCTTCCTATCCATAGCCTTCGGAATGTCCGGGCCATTGACTATGACCCACTGGACAAGCAGCTCTACTGGATTGACTCACGACAGAACATGATTCGAAAGGCCCAAGAAGATGGCAGCCAGGTAATTCAGGGCTCAGTTCAAAGTCCACTTCTGCATAATAACTGGGCTAACCAACTGTCCTGTTTCACTTAAGTCTTGACTTTGCTATATGTGTGGGAGTACGGGGGTGTCCAAACTGAAACTCTGTACCTAGTAGCCTTTTTTTACTGTTTTCTTGAGTAAACAATTGTTTGATGATGATATAAAAATGAAAATTATATCAGCAAAGCTTATGCTTTTGTCATTGTCACTCTCATCCATTTATATAGTATTTTTTCATTATGGTTCCATTTGTGTGGAATATTGGAAGCATTGAAATCAGATAGACCTTGGTTTTAAGCCCAGAGCTGTTGCTCACTAGGATTCTTATGAACATTTGATCTGAAAGGAATGTAAAGCACACAGACCAGTACCTGCAGCATAGAAGGAGCTCAATAAATAACAGTTATATTACTAATTAACTATTGTTTAGAAGGTTCAAAGGATAAGAAACATATAGCAAAGTCTCAGTAAAATTAAAAACATCTAGTGCGTGTTACCATTGGTTCAGTGGTTTTTTTCCTTTTTCTTTTGTAAATACTGTTTGGTGACTGTGGGATGGGAATGAAAATATTATTAATAAATCTTATCTATGCTTACATATCAGTCATGGCTCTGCATACTACTGTCCATTCTTTGCTTTCTTTCTGTGGTCAAGTGGTGTTAGGCTGGGATTACTATAAATAATTTGCTGTCTTCCTTATAGCAATGATGTTAAGTTGGATTTTGAATGTATTAAAATTTAGGGAGATTAGGTTACTATTTTTTTACTGTGTTTTATCTCACAATAAAGAGCAAGGAAGTTAAATATTTAGGGCTGCTGAGGGATCATTAGAGGTAGTCATAGAGGTATATTGTAGATGCACCATACACTATATAGGCCAGGACCAATGAACTGATAACTAGTAGATGGAAATCATACCAAAACCAAAAACCAAACCCATTATCGTAGAGTCGATTCTGACTTATAGGGACCCTGTAGGACAGACTAGAACTGCCCCATAATGTCTCCAAGGAGCTGCTGGTGGATTCGAACTGCCGACCTTTTTGTTAGCAGCTGTAGCTCTTACCCACTGCACCACCAGGGAAATTATAACCAAAAGAACCAAACTCACTGCCGTTGAGTTGATTTCAACTCATTGCGACCCCCTAGGGTTTCCAAGGCTGTAAATCTCTGTGGAAGCAGACTGCCACATCTTTCTCCCACGGAGCCGCTGGCGGTTTTGAACCACCAGCCTTTTGGTTAGAAGTCGATTGCTTTAACCACTGTGCCACCAGGGCTCCTTAGGGAAATTACAGCTATTATTACATAGCTAAGGGCATGACAAATAAATTGAGTAACTTCATTAAGGAATATGTGACCTAAAAGATGTCGAGTAAATGAAATGCAATTTATTCAATAGAACAGGTGGACAAAGCCCCTCTTTTTACCTGGCTTTGTAAATATCTTTTTTTTTTTTTTTTTTAAATGGATTTGAGGGCCAGAGAAAAAGGTGATTGATAGATGTGGTTTTGTATCTTTAACTAATTACTGTTGTCTTTAGAGCAGGGTTTCTCAACCTCAGTGCTGTTGATGATTTGGTCTGGATAATTCTTTGCTGTAGGAAGCTGTTGTGTGCATTGTAGGATGGTTAGCAGCATCCCTGGTCTCTGCCCACTAGATAACCAGTTATATTCCCAGAGTCATGACAATCTAAAATGTCTCCAAACATGGTCACATGCCCCTGGGTGTCAGAATCACCCCCGGTTGAGAATCTCTGCCATACAGGTATTACTAGGTTCTGATCTAGCCATAGTTGTTTCCAGCTCATAGGCGACAGCTGCTACCTTCTCATTCCCGTTTCTAATCAAGGCACTGTCAGATTCCTGGAGCACGTAATATGGCCTCAGCTCTCTTCCACCCCATGTCATAATAACTAAAGGGAACATTTGAGATGCATGTTAACAAAGAAATACATTATCCATAAAAATGTGCATCACTAAGAAGTGTCCCTTGTTCACTTCCTTCTCAGGTATGTGACCACATAAGCAGTGTGAGTAATTGTTTCAGGGCTGTCTGGCTTGGAGTCTGATTTTTTATGTGTGTGTGTCTTTTTCTTTCTGCAGAGCTTTACTGTGGTTGTGAGCTCAGTTCCCAGTCAGAACCTAGAAATACAGCCCTATGACCTCAGCATTGATATTTATAGTCGCTACATCTACTGGACTTGTGAGGCCACCAATGTCATTAATGTCACAAGATTAGATGGTCGATCAGTCGGAGTGGTGCTAAAAGGAGAGCAAGACAGACCTCGAGCCATTGTGGTAAACCCAGAGAAAGGGTATGTTACTAAAGGGGCATCAGGCGTCTTGGCATCTGAGACCCTCTTAACCTTCCTTTTCAGCCAATTATTTATCTTTAAGCACCCTGTGTTCCAGTGAACAGCTTGATACTCTCCATCCACCTACCTCTACATTTTTCTATATCCTTGCTTGTACTTTCTCTGGTTTCACTGCCTAGAGTTTCCTTTCTTGGTCACTATTGCTTTAGTTCTAAATTCTACCCACACTTCTAGGACTATTTCAGTTGCCAAATCCTCCCATGAAGTTTTCCTTGATCTACCTCACCCCCAGCTAGATGTGATTTCCCCCTCCCTGAATAGCTAGCATTCTGTGTCTGTGCCTCTCTACTTGGCCCTTGCTGGTTTACCTTATACTTAGCTATTTTCAGTCTTAAATTCCCTACTAAACTTTAGGTCCTTTATGACAAGAACTAATTTATCTTTTTTCGTTTAATTCAGAGCTTTGCATTTAGTAAATACTCAGTACTTAATTGTATCTGAATGAATGATACTGAAATCAAGGAAGGTGGCTTACTTCAAAAGAGTTACAGGGAAGGGATAAAATCCAGAAGTTAAATATAAGGGATAATTTATATATGGCTTATTTTTAGTTACTAAATGGGCTAATTAGAAAAGGAATTTTAAATTTTGTATCCAGGTCTCTTTGGCCACTGCTTTGAATTTATTATGTTATTCCTAAAGCATAGATGTTCCTGTGTTTAACACTTTGTTTTATTAAAGTTAGGTCTCTAAGAACCTCTCTCTGTAATTTGGAATAAGCTTTTAAAATATTATTTTATCTCCATTTGTCTTAATTAAGAAGAATATTCTCATTTTATATAGTTTCTTGCTTTGGTAACTTATTGTTCCCTTCTTTTTCTTCAGGTATATGTATTTTACCAATCTTCAGGAAAGGTCTCCCAAAATTGAACGAGCTGCTTTGGATGGAACAGAACGGGAGGTCCTCTTTTTCAGTGGCTTAAGTAAACCAATTGCTTTAGCACTTGACAGCAGGTTGGGCAAGCTCTTTTGGGCTGATTCAGATCTCCGACGAATTGAAAGCAGTGATCTCTCAGGTACCCAAGAAAAGTGTTTCCTTGATATTAAAATGATTCATCAAATACATTTGTGTTTTTCTTGCATTGTATTATTTTTGTATTGGAGCCTTGGTGGCACAGTGGTTAAGAGCTCGGCTGCTAACCGAAAGGTTGGCAGTTCGAATCCACTAACTGCTCCTTGGAAACCCTACAGGGCAGTTCTACTGTGTCCTATAGGGTCACTATGAGTCGGTATCAACTTGATGGCAGTGGGTTTGGTTTTGTGGTTCGGTTTATGGAAGGCAGTTTTCCAGTAACAGTCAAAATTTGAACCATGTGTTTCCTTTGATCTGGCAGTCTCCTTTTGGGTAGCTGTCTTATACTGACTGAAGTGTACAGAGTGTTCACTGAGTGTTATTTGTAATAGTCTTATCACAGAGAAATACTTTCTAATTTATCTAGTGTATGGAAGATTTCAGTAGTTCAAAAGAATGAGGTAGATCTGTGTACACTGACATAGAAGGATGAATGAAAAAATTAAGTTACACAACGTTTATTTGAAGATCCAATTTTGTTTAAAGTTTACAGTGATAGGTATATGAATATGGAGTCTCTGGATGGTGTAAATGGTTAATGCGCTCAGCTGCTAATTGAAAGCTTGGAGGTTCGAGTTCACCCCACCCAGAGGCACCTCAGAGGAAAGACCTAGCAATCTACTTCTGAAAAATGAGCTATTGAAAACCCTATGGAGCACGGTTCTACTCTGACACACATGGGGTCACCATGAGTCAGAATTAAATTAACCGCAATTGGGTTGGTTTTTCGTTGTTATTGTTGTTTTAAATGTATATGTATACTGTGAAGAAACAATATGGGTATATATGTGTCATGGGTTGAATTGTGTCCCCCAAAAATACCTGTCAACTTGGCTAGGTCATGATTCCCAGCATTGTATGATTGTCTACCATTTTATCATGTGATATAATTTCCCTGTGTGTTGTAAATTCTGTCACTATGATGTAATAAGATGAATTAGCGGCAGTTATATTGATGAGATCTACAAGATTATATAGTGTCTTAAGCCAGTCTCTTTTGAGATATAAAAGAGAGAAGTGAGCAGAGAGACAGGGGGACCTCATACCAGCAAGAAAACAGTGCCGGGAGCAGAGCGCATCCTTTGGACCTGATGTTCCTGCGCAGAGATGCTCCCAGACCAAGGCAAGACTGATGCATCACAAGGACCTTCTTCCAGAGCTGACAGAAAGAGAAAGCCTTCCCCGGGAGCCTGCGCCCTGAGTTCGGACTTCTAGCCTACTGGACTGTGAGAGAATAAACTTCTCTTTGCTAAAGCCATTCACTTGTGATATTTGTGTTATGGCAGCACGAGATAACCAAGACAATATGTTTGTGTGTTCCTTGAGAAATAGGTTAACCTACTAATGTTGTTGTTAGGTGCCGTCAAATCGATTTTCGACTCATAGCAACCCCGTGTGACAGAGTAGAACTGCCCCATAGGATTTTCTAGGCTTCAGTCTTTACAGGAGCAGATCACAAGGTCTTTTCTCCCACGGAGCCACTGGGTGGGTTCAGACCGCCAACGTTTCAGTTAATAGCCAAGCACTTAACTGTTACGCCAGAGTGCTTATTCTGTGTTACTTGAATTTTCATGTTTGAATACATTTATAAATTTGTAAAAACTAAAAAAAAAAAAAAAAAGAAGTCTGTCTTCAGGTTTAAATGATCCCTTTCATTATGCCTTTATGTATCATATGCACGTGCCTGGGATGGCATATTTTTCCCTGCATCTGACCACCTATGTCTCATCTACCTCCTCTAATTTGTGCGATAGTTTTGCCAGTTTTCTAACTCTTTTATTATTGTTGGACATACTTTTCCTTTGTTCCTTCTCTCGCTTTCTCTTCAAATGTGATTTGTTGTTGTGAAAGCAACGTATTCATTAAAGACAATTTAGAACATAAAACCCATCCAAAGTGCTGTCGCTATTAACATGCTAGTGAGTTCACTTCCGTGTTTGTCTATGCTTTTTTTTAATATAATCCTTAATTATGAAATGGTTCAAACATGCAACAAGTATAGAGTACCTACCATTCAAATTTGTTAAATCTTAGTGTTTGGCCATATCTGCTTTTGGACCTCCCTTCCTCCCTCCTTCCTTTGAAAGAAAACGTTATAGAGACTTTTGAAGCTCTGTGTACCCTTCTTTAATTCTGTTCTCCTCCCTCTCTTCCCCAGAGGTAACATGTTTTTCTTTTATTGTTGTAAATATATCCCAGAGGTAATTTTTTATATTTTTCATTGCTGTGCATGTTTTGTTGTGTGTGTATTTTTTACCATATATACACACATAGTTATACACTCTTTAAACTTAATGTAAATAGTCTCACACTATATGCATTATCCTGCAGCTTTCTTATTTCAGAAGTATCATGGTTTTGAGATAATTCATGTTGATCCACAAATCCATGTCATTTATTTTCAATGCTAAATAATAGGTCATTGTATGACTATTCTGCCGTTTTCTCTATTCTGCTTTCCAACTAAACAGTTTTCAGTTTTTTGCTGTCAAAAACAGTGCTGTAGTGACTATTTCTGTGCACCCATGTGAACATTTCTCTGTGGCCTAAAGCTAGTAGCGGAATTGCTGTATAATATGGTATGTGTATATACTCAACTAGATTTGTCTCGCCTGCTTTATAAAGAGATGGTACCAGTTTAAAGTCTCTACCACCAGTACGTGAGAGTTGCCATACCAGCACTTGGTATGGTCAGACTTCTAAGTTTTTACCAATCCAGTAGTTTTAAATAGATGTCTCAGGGTTTAAAGCATTTGCATTTCCCTGTTTACTGTTAAAGTTTAACAAAATGTTTTCTGTGTGTATTGTTCATTCATGTTTTCTCTTCTGTGAATTGCTGTTCATGGTCTTTGCCCATTGTTCTCTTTCTGGTTTCCAGATACTCTTTATGTATTCAGAATATTAATCCGTTATCAAGTTACATATATATTGGAGAATTCCCATGTTAAGAAATTCATTCTTTTCATTCATGAACATGGTGTATCTCTTCATTTATTCAGGTTGTTTAATAATGTTTAGTACATCTGTATAGTTCTCTCTGTAGTGGTCTCTGCTTGGTTTGCGGATTTGTTAGTGTTTTCTTTTGTTTGTGGTGTAAGGAATCCAGCTTGTTTTGTCCATATAGTGAGTCAGTTTTTCAATACCATTTGCTAAACAATCCACCTTCCCCATTGTTTTAAGATGCTCTCTTTATTATGTATGAGATTCTTGTACATATGTGAGTCTATTTCTTGGTTCTGTTGCGTGAATCTGTTACTGTGACGTGGATCTGTTAGCCCATTTCTGTGCCTTTACCGTGCTGGTTTCCTGAGGTAAATCCAGCTTGTTTATGATTCATTTTTTATGCATTGCCAAATTTGGCTTAATAGGGAGATTGGCTTAAAATTTTCCATTCTTAAGCCATTTTTGCTTCCCGTATCAAAGTTATATTGTTGCAGTTACATGCGTCGAGTCGATTGCGACTCATAGCGACCCTATATGACAGAGTAGAACTGTCCTGTAGGGTTCCTAGGCTGTAGTCTTTTCGGGAGCAGACTGCCAGGTCTTTTCTCCCGATTAGGTTCTTAAAATATATTAGAGAGTATTTCCCATTTTTTTCTAATCTCTAAACTTTTGCCACATTTGATTTATTATAGTCTCTCTGTATATACATATGTATACACATATACATACATATACATACTCAGTTTTTAATCATTTGAAAGTAGGTTATATGCATAATGCCCCATTATCAATATTCCTTCAGTGTGTATTTCCTAAGTACAAGAATATTCTCTTACATGTTCATAGTATAGTTACAATTTCAGGAAATTTAATATAAGTATAATACTTTAATCTATAGTCCATATCCCAGTTTCATTCCTTTGCAGCAATTTATTTCCAGTCTAGAATCATGTTCTAGATTTACTTGTCATGTACATTTAGTCTTCTTTCATAAAGAACAGTTCCTCAGCCTTTCATCTTTCACACTATTGACATTTTTCAAGAATAAAAGCCAGTTATTTTACAAATGTCTCTAAATTTTGGTTTTCTGTTGTTTTCTTATGATTAAATTTAAGATATTTATAAATGACATCATATCTTAGAGTTGGGGAAGAGAGGTAGATTTTTAACAAATGAATCCGTTTTTTAATGTCTAGAGGTCTAATCGGGTGTTTAATTTTTTACACGGATTTTGATGATTTTTTAACCTAGGAAATCGCCTGTTTTCCTCTCCATCTTCAAAATTCTTGGCATGTATTTCATGGTGTTCTTACTTGTTGAATTACAACAAACTTCTAAGTAGAAGTGCAGAAACTCTTGTGTTCAGCTTGATCAATCATTACAAAATGAAAACCACCTTCCAGATCAAGAAATAGATTATTAGCAGCATCCTGAAGGTCCCTCCTTCGCTCTCTTCCCTTTTTTCCATAGATAATCACTATCCTGACTTCCTAACACCATGGGTTAGTTTTGCTTGTCTGTCATAATTGATTGTAGTAGAGTTTTAGGAGGGAGCATAAATAAACTTGTGTTTAATCCACCATGGATCTGAATGTTGACTTAGGTAATGCCTTCCAATTAGCAATATTTCTTCACTTTTTTCCATTTATTTAAATTCAGCTTTATCTTTTCTTCTTTCATGGAACTTTTCCCTGGTATTCCTGAAATATAAGCTAATGTTTTTCTTCGAATAAACTTATTACTTAGGAATGAAAACTTTCTTTAGATATTTGAAGGACTGTTATGAAGAAGAAGGAAGGAAGGAAGGAATATGTTTTTCTCCTTGAATGATGGCAAAGCTGTGGGGGAAGGGGTGGTACAGATTTTAGCCCATTTAAGAACTTTTTCACTGTCCAACAAAAGAGTCTGAATGCCTCTTCGGACTCTGGATGGCTCTATGTCTGGGATATTGTAGAAAGAATTCTTACCTTGGGGTGAAGGTTGAACCAAGTAACCTCTGAGTGAGTTATTTTTCTAAACTGTGTTCTGAGAAGCCGAGTAAGGTGGGTGCCTCAGGTGTACTCACAGAGTGGGGGAGGTCAAATAGAGCTCTGAGCCTACCCCCACTGCTTCATCAAGAGACGCCCCGCCCCATCTTAATCCTTTATGTTAGAGCTTTTCATAAGGTTTAATTTGAAAAATGGACCCTGCTAAAATAATATTTGAAAACTGCTCCTTTCAGTTCTTTTCTGCATTTCTATACACTAGAGTATTTACTGTATATTGGGCACTTATTTGCACTTGATTATATCATGTCCAGTTTATTACCTAATTTATGGTGTGTGTATATCTTTTCTTCTCAGCATGATTTTTAAGTTTTGTGATACAGAGCTTATCATATTCTCTTTTGTAGTACTTTTAGAATCTAGCTAGTATTCAGGAAATAGTTGAATGTATGACTTGACCCATGTGAATCATTTTTGTTGAATGTCTCCTTTTCCAAGGTGCCAACCGGATAGTATTGGAAGACTCCAATATCTTGCAGCCTGTGGGACTGACTGTGTTTGAAAATTGGCTATATTGGATTGATAAGCAGCAGCAAATGATTGAAAAAATTGACATGATGGGTCGAGAAGGTAGAACCAAAGTCCAGGCTCGCATTGCCCAGCTTAGTGACATTCATGCAGTAAAGGAGCTGAACCTTCACGAGTACAGTAAGTCATGATGGGACGCTGCTAGTTGGAGGACTTAGAGTTTACTGAAAGAAGTCAAGACAATTTTGTTCTTTTCTGTCTTTTTATCTCTGTGATCAAGATTTTCATGTACTTTTAGCTTTGCCTTTTTTTTTTTTAATATGAAAATCATCCGATAGCTTTTCCAAATTCGACATCTTCTCATAAACCAGGAATCAAGGAGAGGAAGTTGAAATGTTGCCCAGGTCTGACAAAGACTCTCCTTCTGGTGCCTTCCTCTGTCCTCCTCCAGTGCCTTTGAGAACCGCCAACATAAAGCTTTTGTTTGTTTCTTTTCTTCCGTCTGCAATCCTGTAGTTGGAGCAGAAATTAAAATTTTATTTATTTAATGATGAATGTAGTTATCATGGATTAACCTTAGTCTTAAAACAAACTAAAAAAAATGAGTGTGTAAACTTGGGCTTGTTTTTTTTTCCTCTTGGATAAATTTTTCAATTCCTGGCTTAGACAAATAGCCATGAAGTTATTTTTTTGTTGTTGTTCTTTTTTTTTTTTTTGTAGATTTCACGAATCATCGTGACCTAGTTTCTTATTAGTATATGTCTGTCATCAAAAATACCCTCCCAGCAATCGCTATTACAGGTCATACATGATGGTGCCAGGAATGCTAATGTTAACTAGAGGACTAGAGAGAGAACTGTTGAAACTCCTTAACTTCTCAGCACAATGCTTTCAAATCAAATTGAAGAGTGAAAGGAGAATAGAGGAATGAGAGCACCATTGTTCCATTTAAGTGTTCATTATATTGCCACTGTTCATGAGCTTAGAAGTAAAGTTAGAGGTATTTGAGAATTAGAAATTTAGAATTGTTGTCGTTCTAAGTTATGACAAGTAACTTATGCTGAACTGTTAATGGAAATAAAATGACATAATACCTAAGTTATTTATTCAGTGATATATGAATATTCTATTTCAGAAAATCCAGTGGAGGTTTTCAGAATTTCAGAGGGGATCTCCTTTTTAGAATTCATTTAAATATAGTTTTATATTTGGAAAAATATTTTTTGAAATTTCTAATATTAGAGACTGGAATTTTTGTTTCTTAAAAGTGTCACGGGATTAAAAAGTTAAGAAACAGCGTATAGGTTGTCTGTTCTCATACAGTAACTGATGTCTGTTTTGAGACATGTAGTACACTACATCTGTTCATTTGCAGATAGCTGGCTCCCTGCATCTCATTAACACAGATTGATGTTATTGTATGAGAGATGATAGATGGGTGACTACATTAGATGCTAATCCTTTGGGATGATAAATGTTAATTTGCTTTTAATACAAGTAGAAAATTAATAACAATGATTTCATTAAATGCAACTTGTGAAACAGATTTTGAAAAGTTGCCTGATGGTTTGTTTATTTAACTGAGCCCAAGTGTGAGGAAATTTGACATTTGTAGCATTACAGCAGTTTATCAAACTAATAATTTTGATTATCTCTAAATGGTTGAGTTCCAAGTGACTTTTTTTCTGCTAGTAGCCCTTTTAATTTTCAGGGAATTTCTCATTAAAATACACTTTTTGAGTAAAATCATCTTCTCTTTTTAGAAAGGTAGAATTGCTGAGTTAAAAATCTTGGGTATAGAAAAGTTTTTATATTTTAAACAGAATAATGTCCAGATCTCAAGATGCTCCCTAGTATGTTTATAGCAGTGTTTTAGATTCAGTGATCAGCTTTGCATACAAAAATCAATATGAGCTATACAATTACCTTGCTTAAAATATTGTAGATATAAATATATAAAAATACGTTATGAATATACATTTATGCCAGGCACTGGCAGCTAATCCTATTATAAGTATTTTATATTTATAAATTATTATTCCCATTTTCTTGTAGGTTGTGTGGGAACAGAGTAAAGAATCATATTGTGTAGAAATAAAGTTCATGCCAATTTTACATACGGTTTTCTTGGTAATTCAAATAATTGTTGGAAAGAATTTTGACAAGGTTGTGCCTCCCCCCTTTTAATTTGCAGGGCAGCATCCTTGTGCTCAGGATAATGGTGGCTGTTCACATATTTGCCTTGTAAAAGGGGATGGTACTACAAGGTGCTCTTGCCCTATGCACCTGGTTCTCCTTCAAGATGAGCTGTCTTGTGGAGGTAAACATGCTACAGATTTCTTGTACAAGCCTACATGCCAGTTAACATGTTCCGTATCTTACTTAGGACCAGGCACTGTTTCACTGTGTTGTGAGTCGGAATCGACTCGACGGCACCTGATAACAGCAACAACATATCTTATTCTAGCTTTCTATGATTTGACGGTGCATTTTTGCTATATCCTAACCTGATTGGTTGCTTATATTCTACATATCTGCACTGAACTAAGTTTTGAGTTATTCTAAGAGTGACTCCCTTGTGACAGGTGTAATCTAATCCTGGGACTAAAAAAGAAAATGCCCTTATTGGGAAAAACTCACACTATGAATGAGTATATTGCCTGAAAATGATGTAGATTCCCACCCTGCCCCTAAGAGGGTAACAAGGTGAATTAATTCTGCCTCTTATAATCTCCTTCCACTAGAGGCTAAATTCTGTCTGCGTGTGTATCCTTGTTGGGATGTATCCAGTGAAAACAATGCTTACCCTGTTAATCCTGACAATAAACCGTATCAACTTTGGCAGACGAGAAGATCAGATCAGTTGACGTTTTGGCGCCTTTTCAGACCTAGGGACTGTTGTTTAGCAGTATCTTCCTTTGAAGAAAGTCTGAAGCAATAGAATTTTTTGTTTTCAAGCAGATAGTTATAGGTGAGCATGTCAATTCTTAAGGAAAGGGAGAAGCCTAAAAATGTCACAGATTGTATCTACATTGCTGGCTCTTCTTTCTCCTTCTGATCCATAAATGTAGGCGCTCACTAAGACCTTGGTCGTCCGTTCTTTGTCTCGTGTGATGGTTTTCCAGAAACATTTCTTTTCTCAGTGTATCAACTATTACCTTCTTGCTGTTGCCTAGTATATTTCAATGTTCAATCCTATCTTTCTTTTCTTTTTATATTTTTAATTATAAATATGTATATATAATTTTTTAATTATAAAAGTAACACATGGCCATGCTTTTTAAAAATAAAATATGGAGGGATGGGAAATGAAATGTAAAAGTCTCCTTCCCCACTCCTGTGGAATCTCTCTCATTCCTAGAGAGGATAGGTGGTGGGTAGGTGGCTGCGTATATTCCCTTTGCGGTTTGAGTATAAATGAGGTCATGTTGTACTTAATGTTTTACATCTTTTTGTTTTTTTTCTTCACACTCAGCAATATACCTGAACATAAACCAGTTTACTTCTTCTTCCAGGCTTCCCTGTATTTGTCAGTAGCACCACATTCTGTACCCCTCACACCTGAAACCTAAAAGTCATCTTTATTATTCTGTTGG